TGTATCATCAGCCAACTTGCTGAGGGTGCACCCCATCCCCTCGTCAGGTCGGTGATGAAGATACTGAAAAAACTGGCCCCAGAAGTGAAGAGGACAAAGTCAGCCCTCTTGAAGTCCAGGGTAGAAATTTTGCGTATTACCTTTTTTTTTCCCCTAACAATACTGAACTCTAACATATCACGGTCACTACAGCCAAGACAGCCTCCAACTTTAATATCCGTGACCAGACCTTCTCTGTTTGTTAACACAAGGTCCAGCATCGCACCTTTCCTCGGTTCTTCAACCACCGGCAGCAGAATACACTGCAGAAACCTTTTGAACTGGTTATGCTTGGCTGGGTGATTCTTCCAGTTAACATCAGGGTGACTGAAGCCACCCATGAGCACCAGGGCACGTGATCTTGAGGCTACTTCCAGCTGCCTGTAGAAGGCCTCGTCAACAACTCCCTGGTTAGGTGGCCCATAGCAGATACCCACAACAGTATCTCCCGCGTCTGTTCTTACCCATAAGCTCTCAACACTCTCCTTCTCTCCCCCTGGGCTACGCTCAACGCATTCTAGTCACTTATTCACATAGAGAGCAACTCCACCACCTCGCCTTGTCGGTCTATCCTTCCTGAAAAGCACGTAGCCAGCCATCATCACGTTTATCCCCTCCCTCCTTCAAACCTAGTTTAAAGCCCTTTCAGTCAGACCCTTTCTATCAATCCTCCCTCTCTGCTCCGTGCTGGTGGGGCCATGTGCGGGTGCTGGGCCCGGTGCTGGGCCCCCCCAGTACCACAAGGACAGGGAAGGAGTCCAGCAAAGGCACGAGACAAGCGGCACAAACCAAAACGGAGGAATTTCCATTTAAATTTTTTATTTACATTTTTAGTGCAAACGTGGTCAAACACTGTTGCCCACGGAGGTTGTAGAGTCTCCAGCCTTGGAGATATCCAAAATGCAACTGGGAAACTCTAGTTTCCCCTGCTTTGAGCACGCTGGGGTTGGGACTAGACCATCTCTGCTGGAGACATCAACCATTCCGTAAGGTCTCACCAACACCTCTCTCTCCTATTTTCTCTAACCAGCAAAGCAACAGAGAAACCAACAGAGAACCTGCAAAGCTACAGAGAAAATAGCCTTTTAGGGCAAGGAGGAGGTACTCTCGGAATGCAAAAGGCTGGAAAGCACTCGCCAAGACTCAGTAGGTGAGCAGGTGCCATCCATCCTCTGCTCAAACCTCAGTTCCACCCACAGCCATGCGAGCAGAGGCCGCTTCTGGATCCAAGACCCTGCATCCCCTCCTCAGGATCACCCCACTGATAGCACGCAAGCTCTTTAAAAGAGTGGAAGCAGCCCCTCCGTGGTAAGAGTAAAGAAGAGGGGGGACATCAAAGCCATAAATTTAAGGGGAAGTGATGTACCAGTGCCCTCTGCTGCTGACACTTTTTATTCCCTGACTGAACGAAAGCCCGAGGGCTCAGAAAACCCATTCTGCTTCAGATGTTGCTGCTAAGTGGTAACAGCACTGCTCAACTCCATGTTTGTGCCTGTGCCAGCAGATCGAGAGTGGAAAGGGGATGAAAAACTGCAGCACTTCCAGCCCCGCTCCAGGCTCCTGCAGGGCTGAGAGGCAGGAGGCAGGGATCTGCGCTCGGCTCGCCGCGTGCAGGCACCCGGGGAACACGGTTCTCTCGCTGCACAGCCCCTCACGCGTCCCTCCCCGCAAGACTCACCTTGAACCTGGGCGCTCAGCTTCTCCAGGTCCTGCTCCGTCATGTGGGAAAATCTGCAGTTGGACCCAAAATCGCACTGTCCTGGAACAAAAGGCACGGAGCTCTGTTAGAGCCACACAGACAAGGGCCTCAAACCCAAGATCCATTACACGGGACACACAGGTCCAAGCCCTCCAGTCCCTCTGAGACAAAAACCCACAGCAGGGCTCTGCAGCACAGCCCCGGGCTGGCTCATAACGGAGCTGCTAGAGCTCAGGTGGTTCTTTCTACCTCAGAACTCACCCGTTTGCAGAAACTTCCGACAAGGTTTCTTGGTTTGCTCCTCTTGCAGGATAGTGGCAGCATCTAGGGGACACAAAGGACAAACTGGGGTAAAGATCACAGCGATACCAAATGGGTCTGTTGCCTGGTGCGAACTTAAGCCACAGACATATTGACAGGTAACAGCCCCTGTTTCCACTCCTGGCTTCAGCTTTTCACTGGTTTGCAAACATCATCTTCTCTGCTTTCCGCTTCGTGCTTCCTCCCCATGGCAGCAGGGGACAAGAAGCATGACAGAAAAGCAGGGAGTCCGCGGCACTTCTGGGCAGCAGCGAAAGATGAGGCAGACTCGCAGAGCTCTGGGAAAAGCTCTGCACGACACCTCACAGAGCCCCGTCATGAGTCTCCAGGGGACATCACTGAAACGGTCCTTCACCTCCCGGAGACATCCTGGGGAAAACAAGCCCCGAAGATACGGCAGCTCCCACAGATGGTGGAAGCACTGGCTGAGGAACCCAAAGGAAGCAGAGGAATATGCAGGTTTCACGATCAGTTTAACCCAAACTAAGCCTTTCCTACTGCCCCAGTACACAGTCCTGCTCTCTTTCGCAGACCCTGGACACATATTCCCATCATATTCCTCAGGCTGGTGCTAAGACATGTGTAATTGCGTGGCAAGCGCTGAGCTGGGTGAGAAGAGACCTGTTAAGCAGGGAGAAGACACCGGCCTTTCCTCCAGCACAGCCTCCAGTCCAGCAATTCCAATTCCTCCTCTGCCAAAACCTCAATGCACCCAGCCCTCCTCCTCCTCACCCCTTTGGACAGGTGTGAGCACACCTTCCCCAGCCCTTTTACCTTTCGGCAAGTGGGCACAATTCACTGGCACAGACAATCTCACCATAAATCAGCAGTGCCCATTTATTGTGTCTATTCCCCCCCCACCTCCTCCATCGCTTCCCCCGTGCCAGAAAGGGAGTGGCAGGCTCCTGGCAGCACCCACCTCGGAATAAGTCGTACCAGACTCTCTTAGCCCTGAGGTGCTGCACTCCATTGAGGTGTTTCTTCCTGTTGTGAAGGTTGTCCTGGAAGGATCGGTCACAGTAGTCACAGAAGTACCTTTTCCCCATCTCTCTTGTGGCAGAGCAGCATCAGCGTGGCCTGGGAACCGTCAGACAGATCCTCGGCATCCAGTCGCGCCCGCCCTGGGGACGGAGGATCCAAGATTTACAGTGCCTGCTTCCGAAGGAGAAGAACTCAAATCATTCAGGGTTGGCAGACAGAGAAAGAGGTGAGACCCAACAGTATATATTCACTTCCACCAGAGCCTGGTAAAGCTGCATCTGCTGCACGTGAGAACAGCCTCGGATCTGCGTTTCTTATCTCCATCACCCAAAGCAACAACGGTTCTGCTGAAAGAGTTCTCCTTCCTGTTGTGTGCTGGAGTTCAGGGCGCACTGAGCACAGAGCCCAGAGAGCCACCGCCTGCACCAGACACCAGCCAACGCGCCAACAGGAGCAGGCAGAGATCCAGGCCCCAGCCTCCAACTGGGGCTCTAGGACCTCGACCCAGCACCACTGACAACCCCCACAAGAGGGAGGAAGGAAATTCCCCCGTGTCAGTCTCTACGAGGTAAGGAAGAAACTCAACAACTCCTCAAAGATGAAAATAAACGCCAAAACACCAACTGATCTCACCTGTACCGCAAGTGGGCAGCTATTTACAAACACTAAAGGACTCAACGTTTCGTTCAGCCACCTATTTCGCTCCTGCTCTCCTCATCCTCCCCAGCCCACGGCAGCAGAACGTGTCTGCTCCAGCGAGTACAGCAGCACTTACAGCAACTAAGATCACAACAGCCTTACGGCAAGGAGGAAACAACCCCCAACTCCATGGAAAGCAACCTGAAGATGCCTGGTCCTCCTCTTCCCACGGGGAAAAGGTGCTGATCCCACCTGCATCTGTTGCCTGGGGACTCTGCTGGGGAGGACCGAGGAGTGATGTGACGGAATTCAGGTGCTCTCACCTGTGCCGGACCTGGAGCAGCTCAGACCCTGGTAGGGCAGACGCGGTCTGTGATCGAGCGCAGCCCTGTCGCCATCAGCCAGCCTTTTCTGGAGGTGCAACAGATACTCTGGAGGAGCTGTGAAGTCCTCTCCCGAGTGATATAAAGGTACCTGATAAATGCCAAAGATGGATGGACTGGGAGATAAACTCCAAAAGCAATTCTCCGGTCTTTTGACACCTTGACAGCCAAGCGCATTTAAAAAATGGCACGGAGGGCAGCGCAAGAAATAAAGATTTTATAAATAAATCAGGGTCAGAATCAATCACAGCCTCCCTAACGATTCCCTGGAATCAGCGGGAAGAGCAGCAGCAACGGGCAATCCCTCAGAGCCCAGCGTGCTGTTCCGCAGAGCCCTCCCGCCAGCCATCCTGGCACCTCGCGAGCGACTGCGCCAAACCCCGTCCTTCCCCCGCTCCCCAGAGCTGCTGCTTCAAAACCAAGTCCTGGGGGGGAATCTCTCAGACCTCAGGCCACAAGTTAAAATGTAGTCTCCTCCACCTGCATTCAATGGAAACTTCATCTGGGGTTTTTGAAAAAAAAACCACCTTCACAGCAAAGGGAAAACATTTGGAGACTCCACCGGCACTTGAAATCTCTTGTTTTAAGGCCCTTCCCTTGTTAGAATCCTAGAATGGCCTAGGTGGGAAGGGACCTCAGAGATCATCCAGTCCAACCCCTGCCACGGGCAGGGCCGCCCTTACCCAGCCCAGGTTGCTTCCGGCCTCATCCAACCTGGCCTTGAACATCTCCAGGGAGGGGGCAGCCACAGCCTCTCTGGGCAATCTGTTCCCTCAGGCTGAAGAATTTCTTCCTAAGATCCAATCTAAACCCATTCTCCTTCCATTTAAATCCATTTCCCCTTGTCCTGTGGCTGGACACTCCTGTACAAAGTCCCTCCCATCCTCCCTGTAGGTCCCTTCAGGCCCTGCAGCAGGGATAAGGTGCCCCCGGAGTCTTCTCTTCTCCAGCTGAACACCCGCAGCTCCCTCAGCCTGTCCTCGCAGCAGAGCTGCTCCAGCCCCTGGGTCATCTCTGTGGCCTCCTCAGGTGTTCTCCAGGTGAAATTTCTCACGGGGAGGCGGTGCCGAAGAGCCAGCCACCTCTCCCCGGTGTGAGGGCGAACTGCTTCACCCGCAAACACCATCAGATCTGGCTCCTGCTTCGAAGGCGTAACTCGGCTCTGCAGGGCTCAAGCGCTTAAATTATCCCACTCCAGCCCAAGAAACCAAACCCAAGAGCTGCTTAATTCCGCCCCCTCCTTTACTAGACCCCCCCAGAGTTTTGCAGCCAGCTTTGCTGCCCCGTGGCGAGGCTGCTGGAATCGGGAGGGAACGCTCTTACCCTCAGCATCTGGCCGTGGCTTTCGAGTACTGAAAAATCCCCCCTTTCAGTGTCTCGTGCCACAGCCACGCAAAGTTTCTGGTCACTGAAAAAGCTTCCTGCCCGCGCTCCCACCTCTGCAGAAGCGGCTGCTGCGAAGGAGGGAAACAAATGAGATTCTGCAGCGGTCCCGCACAACTTTCTGCAGATCTCCATGGGAATTCTGCCTGCAGAAGCCCAGCAGCCAGCCAGCCTTTGAAATCGTATTTCAAACTTTTCCTTTCATCACCCCGACAGCAATAATTGCGGAAGCTCGCTCCCCCTCCTCCCCCAGCAACGAGGGCAGAAAGCTCCTACAGATTTCAGGCAGCCAAGATCGCACAGCCCCAGAGGGGCCGGCTTCCAAATTCTCCCAGCAATTCCCATTGCAGGGGATGGACGGAATAAAAATTTAAAAAAAAAAAAAAAAGGCAATTAGAGGAGCGTCAGATTCTCCCAGAGATCGCCCTCCTCCAAAGATTACACCGAACGCTTATTTCCATCTTTTTAAGAATTCAGCCGCATGGATTATCTTGGCTGGATTCTGACAACTCTCTGCAGTATCAGCAATCCACAGCGCTTTGCGCCGAGCGAGTACGGAGGGAGAAAAGCTGCTTCTGAGCAACTGGCTCACCTATTTCTAAAATGGCTCCAACAGTAAACAAAGAGCATTATTCAGTTGAAAAGAGAGACGTTTTCTAATTAAATCCATCTCGGCCATTATGAAATGAAGTAAATGTAGCTGCTTTATGATGAGCTGCTTCAGCTTGGTCATTCCCTCTTAATATTTCTCAGACCCTAATTTGCAACTGAATTCACGCAAACAGACTCCGGGACCCGCAAGCGGCCATAAACGATTTCAGCCAGGCTTCGAACCAGCTTAAAAAGTCTTCCTGCGTAAATCCAAATACAAAAAAAACCCACCCCACATGGCTTGGTCTTGTATCTTGATGCTTAAAAGTATTAACAAAAAAATCCCCTGCTGTAAGCCTCTTGGAGCAGTGTTTGACAAGAAGCAGCAGGTTCTAAGACACCTCGCCAGTGTCTCACTCCAGCTGAGGCGCCTGGCAAAACTCCCGGCGAGACCTCATGTGCCCCATCCCGCATTCTCCCTTCTCAGATTGCTGCCAAAACACGCCACGCCGTGCTCTACCAGCTACAGATTTTATTTAGGACTCTCCGGGACGTTCTGTCGCCAGTTTTCCCGAGACATGGGCAGAGGGAAGAAGGTGATCCAGAGAAACGGGCGCACGACAGACTTGTTTTCGTCTGGGTGTAACTGCTCTTCTTCACGCTGAACCTGCTGCTGGGCCTTGACCTCAATTTCCTGCTTTCTTACAGCCCAGCCTTGGGGCCGTTTCAGCCACTCTGGATATCCAGACAGATGTGAAGTTAATTAAATCCAAGTGTCAAGCTTACGACACTCCGCTGCCAATTCAAATGTGCTTGTATCTCCATGTGAAATGCCGGCAGGCTGCCAGCACCTTCCCAATGACAGAGGGACAGAGACTGATTTCTGCTCCTCCTGGTGTAAATCCGGAGCTCGATTCAGGATTAACACCGCCCCGACCGTGACACAAACCCATCCTAGTGGTAAGAATTTAAGGGCTGTCAGGGACATTTGTTTTAAAGACAATGCCTGGCAGGTAATGTTGAAAAATAACTGAGCACAGGAATATGTCAGGCACCCGTAGAGGCTTCCAGCACAAGCGGAGGCTTTGCCCTACCCTAAAAATCCCCTGCATCTCCACCATGGCTTGCAAGGAGGGAACCACACATCAATAGAGGAGACCTTATTGCCCTCTACAACTACCTAAAAGGAGGCTGGAGTGAGGCTGGTGCTGGGCTCTTCTCTCTAATTACTAATGACAGGACAAGGGGAAATGGCCTCAAGTTGCATCAGGGTAAGTTTAGATTGGATATTCGGAGGAAGTTCTTTACCGAACCAGTGGTGAGGCACTGGAACAGGCTGCCCAGGGAGGTGGTGGAGTCACCAACCCTGGAGGTGTTTAAAAAAACATTAGATCTCGCACTTGAGGCTGTGGTGTAGTGGTTGGGTGTGCTGGGATGAAGGTTGGACTGGATGATCTTCAGAGGTCTCTCCCAACCCCTGACATTCTGTGATTCTGTAATAAATGAAGAGAAACTCCTGCGCAGCCAGACCGCGCGCTTTTCCTGAGCGGCCGAGACAAATGAAATGACGGAGCGAGCGTCTCTTGAGGATCTGTTCTGAAATTTAATGGGGATCTGTTCTGAAATTTAATGGAGGTGCTCGTGTAACAAGCAGCCTGCTGAGGGACAACTCCAGTGTGAAGATTCCTCCTCCACCTCCCTGGTCTGTCCTCCCGTTCCAACCCCACCTCTCTTTCCCATCCTGGGGCCCCTCTGCCCTCCCTGAGGTTCAACTAAGAAGATAAACGTGGGAAGAAGGTGACAGACAGGGGCGGGAACGCTTCCACTCCCGTTTTGCCTCACGTGGAAAGGCCGCGATCTTCCA